TTAAAGGGGAATTTCAAATACCCACTGTTGTCATTAAGACAGCCAAGAAAGAAGTCAGGAATGTTACTTTCTTTACTTTAACCACCCAAGGAAGGAATCTTAAGGTACCTTTTGTGGAAGCTTTTAATATATTTTGGGGAAGAAGGAATGTCTTTGTAGCTATATAGTTAGAACATCTCTACATAGCTGTTTTAAGCTGAGGTGGTTCTGCCTCTGAACATCTATTTCCATCACTATTTTTATCTATCTATCTACCATCTATCTATCATCTATCTGTCTGTCTTCTACCTACTTACCTACCTACCTGTCACTTCCAATGTAAACTGCAAACATCATATTTCATCTATACTCCAACAAGTCGCTTCTAAAAATATTTTCCTACATAACCACAATACAATCAATGTACCCAAGAAATGAACATTGATGTATTTTCTAATTTATATTAAGTTAAATTTGCTCCACCTATTTTATAGCTGTTTTAAAATCTAGAATCCAGTCAGGAATCAGGCCTTACATTTGAAAGATATATAATACAGAATAGTCTTTTATTACATGGACAATTTTGAAGCATTTAGGACAGTTGTCTTGAAGAATGTTCCATCATCTGGACTTTTATTTTCTAAATGCTTCAATGCAGTTAAGAAGTATTTTATTTAGCAAGACTGTTGTTGGGTATTTCCTCCATTATACTACCTGGCATGTGTTACTTTGTCCCACTAATGGTGACGCTAAATCTCACCCCTTGGAGTAAGATGGTTTCCAGTAGACTATCATGAAAACACTAGTTATTTCCCTCGCAGCGATGTCATCTGGGAGGCAGTCTTTTGATACTTCTCCCATACTTTTAGGTATACTATAATTATAATTATTCTTCAAATATACATAAAAACTGTTGCAAATAATAAGAAGGTCTATAAAGAAAAAAACTTGATAATATCTTTATGAATCATCAGTTTCAGAGGAAGAGAAAGGGTGTCTTGGAAAGACAGCACCATGGCCACAATGGAGCCCACTCTGCTGACACCATGATTGACACACTTCGCTCCCACTCACTTCTTGGAGCAGCTCGTAGTCTAGCAGGTCTTTAACGTGCCAAGTGACCTCCAGCAAACCAGAGACTGCTTCGGCAAAAATTCCAGCATTAAATAGAGATGGAAGAAGAAAAAAATTGGGGATGGGGCTTTAGTGGGGCCTGGGATAGAACTGCAAGAGAGGGAGGTTCTTCACAGGTGGTGCCTGTCAATGCCATTTCTAGGCCCGTAAAATTTTAATGACAAAAGAAGCATTTGTCCGTCTCTCTTGGTCCAAGTCTCCCTGACGCAAATGCCATGCTATGGAATCTTGCTTCTCTCATCTTCAGACAGACCTTTGGCCTCTCTCTTCTATACTTAAGAATGCCCAAATCGGGCTCAACACTGTATTAACAGCCACACTGGAATTCCTTATGCTTGTGCTTGTCCTGCCAGTCCCAGGAAACTGAGTCAGGTGAGGAACAGCCTGTCCACACCTGGATGCCCCTCACCCCCAGCACAGTGGCAGGCACAGAGAAGTGCTTGGGAAGTGTTTACAGAGTGGGATGATAAAGGAGAGGGGCAGAGCTCTGTGATCATGTTTGCCTCCTTGCTTTGCTGTGGCAGTCAAGAGTTTGACCTGGCACTCAAACCAAGGTCTCTGGCGTGGAGGTCACCTTCTTCCTCACTACCCGTAAACAGTTCCCAGGGTGTGCGATTTCACCACACATGGATTCATTACATCTCCAACTACCCGATTTTCTAATATTTACACTTCCCACACAGATGCTTCACTCAGATGGGGTTTTTCCCCCCTCATCGGAAAGGACCTTGTTTCTCTAGTCTCTTCCTCCTTCCAAATCTTGGCTAGCTGAAGTTTAGAGAGTTACTCAAAGGCCTCCCTTTATAGAAACACCTTTCCATTTCTGCTTCTGGATATTCCCTCTTCTTTTTCTGAATTCTCAAAGAACATTAGTTGAACTTTGATTAAATCACTTGTCACTTTCTGTCTTGTGCTGTAATAAAACACCACGGCTCTCCTCAGATTCCGTATTAGGTAAGAAACACTTTTAGAGATAAGACCAATGTTTTCTTCTAACATCACAGGATACTCTCCTGCAATAACACGCACTTGTTTGTTTTCCACACAGAGTACATTTTCCTTCAATAGTTATACTTCAATTTATTTTTTCCTTATTTTATCTACTTAGAAGAGCATATCCCTTGATTTCTACCGATTCCAAACTAATCTCCTGCGTAAATCCTTTTTAAAACATGCAGCCTGGCTACCTCTCCATATCTTCTGCTTCAATGTGGTGTTTAAAGATATCGGTCTGGAACCTGGATTCTAATCCAGTCCTGCAACTTATTAGTTATTATGGGGAAAATAGTTAATATTATTGCTGTGTCTTAATTTCCTAATGTGGAAATCATAATGGGATCTACTTCACAGGGCTATGATTTTTCTGTAAGGATGAAATGAATTAATTCTTGTGAAGTACATAAAATAGTGCTGCCATATCATAAACACTCAATAAAAGTTAGTCACCTTTTCAAGATCCCTCTCATGGTTAGAAACCACCATTTGGCAATGATTATTTACCAACTGGTGACACATGTTCTATTGTTGCTAGAAATTTAAATTTAAATTTAAAATTTAAAGCACTGTTCATGTTTTGTTTTTTTTTTTGGTACTAGGGATTGAACTCAGGTCCTTGTGCTTGCGAGGCAGGTGGCAGAACCCCTGAGCTAAATCCTCGGTCCTGTCCATGGGTTTTTAATGGGCCCTTCCTACTTAAGTAAACTGCAATCCTCCTGAGCACTTGAGAACTTTGATTACTGAGCATATGCTACACGCCAAGAACTTGGCTAAGTGCCTTCTATAAGTATTTCAATTGTTACTCACAATAACAGCACAAGATAGCTATTATTTCTATATTATAGATAAAACAAAACAAAAACTGAAGGGATAAAAATTTGCTCAAGTTTTCTAAGTTAGTTTGTACAAGAGATAGACATTTTTTGTATCCAAAGATAATTTTTATTTATTTCCTTACATCCTGATTAGGTAGATATTCATTCACACAGTTACCATCCACATTCTATTTTCTTTATTGATATATATTTTGATATTGAAAGCACACATCTTTAGAAAGTAGCTCTTTAATTGTAATCCATCCTAATACACAACCTTATTTTTCCATTTTAACATGCTTTATTAAAAATGTATCTTAGACTCCAATATACACCCTCATCCTACTGTAATAACCAAGAGCCCAAAATATTCTTACTATATTCTAATAACTGGAGACTTTTGCCAGTTTTTTGTTTTGTTTTACTATTCTCCATGCATCTGTGCCAATTCCATCATTTTATGTTTAGCTTTACTGTGATACTTTTTGGGATTAATGCTTGTTCTCTAGTGAATTTACTAGTGTTGAAAGAAATGCAAGAGAGCATTTGCTCCACATACTTGTTTTACCATGGTGGGAAATGGGGCTCAAGCTAATGGTGGTCATCCAGTACTGCTCAGCTTGCCACGGGCACAGAAGGGACAAGAACCAGGCTTCTCTATTCCCACTCTTGTGCTCACTTAGCTAAACTACATGCCACTTGCATACGAACAAAGGCTATGTTTTTCATATCCATTACATCCCCCTCCATCCCCTGTGGGTCTTTGGGCCAGTGCCCTTAGTTTACCTTTGATTATGGATTCCCAAATAGGAGGCAAAGCAAATTGAAGAAGTAAAAACCCTGTGCAATTTCTCCCCCTTGAAGGCTTTACTCATACTGCTCCTCAAATATCTTGTCTACAGGTCCCTAAGGAGTTACTCAAGGCGTGGTCCTCAGAGGCGTGGACAACTAACAAATACTTGCAGAAACAGAAGGAATGTTTAGAAACTACTGTAACGATGTAAAAGATTAAGGCTTTTTGTGGTAGTGCTAGTGATTAGACTCATACATGGTAGCAAACACTCTACCACTGAGCTATAACCCCATCTCCCATACCCTTTTGAGACAAGGTCTCACTAGGTTGCCCATTTGGACCTCAAACTTGTGATTTTCCTGTCTCAACCTCCTGAGTTGCTAGGATTACAGGCATGCCCCATTATAGCTAGCTAAGAAAAACATATATTTTTTTAGAAAAAATTTTTTTAATCTCAAATTAATGGTAAGACTTTTTCTTTCATTCCAATAGATTGGCGGGGGGGGGGTGTAACAATCTTTACCACACAAAATCTAAGAGTCATTGGTTTAAAAGGCCCAGGGGCAAGTCCATGTCTCACCAATTCCTTTCGTGAAGCATTCCTGATATCCCTGACAGCACTTTAAAAATCTGTGACATCTGAGCGTGATCTTCTTATGTGTCTTACCACTTACTATCTAAACTAGCAATTTTTGTGTTTGTCTTACCTCCTTTGAATCATTACAACTTCCATCACAAATTACATGTCCACTGCACCTCCACAATTGGCATATAACTCATAAACTTGTACTTATGTGGAGAAAGGGCTACCTATTCAGGTTACTTGCCATTTTGAAAAGGGAGGAAGTTAAAAACACCAAAAGAACATATTTCCCTGAACTCAGAAGGGGAAAAAATCCAGAGTGTAGAGTTCAGGCAATTCTCAATTCCAAATTTTATATGTGAATTTTTAGATCAGTATGAAAGCTAAACATATACAGTAGTGCTATTTATCCTAATGGAAATCTAATGAGTTGTCCATCATGATCTTAAGTTGAAATCTGCATCTCAAAGAACTCTAAGGAACTGCGAGATCATAGTACAACTATATGTATAGCTATCCTATTTCTGACAGTCTTCCAATAGAATTCCCAGTCCTGCTCCAGGGTGTGTGTGTGTGCGTACCATCTCTCAAACATCAGAACTCAAATACTTTATCAGTGGAGACCATCATACTCCCCATTACCCATAATGCAAATTAAACAGGACATGTACTTCAACAGTCACCTCTAGTCCCCACTCACCAAAATATTCATCAGCAGGGGGATTTTCCATGTCATACAGCATCTTTTTGGTCAGGTGCTCCAGCTCATCTTCTGGGCGGAAAGAAGAAGGAAAAGATTGAGGCCCCATAGGCCCTGTGTGTCCACCCTGAAAAACAGAAAGCTCATTATCCTTTTGTTTGAGTCTAGACAACAACCCAGACAATCAGCATGAGCCAGTCATGTTTGCACTGGGGAAAGAAAATGCGCTGGACTTGTATATTTGGTGACCTGGGTATCAGACTTAACATTTGTCCCTTATGCAGTGTCTAACCTTGGACACATGTCTTCATTCACCTTCTTTGTCTAAATGAATCATCAACTGGGCTTTAGAAATCCACATCTCCAACAGTGGGAATCTGTATCATTCGACAACTGCCAAGCTGTTACTATGTATCATTTGTGGATTTGTTGAAAAGATGAATAAACTGAGGCTTTTCCTCTGAAAGACTTCATGGCCAAGATGAAGGTACAGGCATGTTAATAAAACAAAGCAAACAAAGCAGCTATCGAAATTGTACAATCAAGGTATTAGGACAGACCTCTCACAGGGCTTGGAGGAACTCTTCCTGTGGAGAGGCATCAGAGCAGAGAGGAAATATGCAGGTAAAAGTTGTGAGAGTGCTGGAGATAAACAGGAACCCAAAGTGTGTAGAGAAAAAAAGGAAAGCCACATGCTAGATGTTAAACAGCTTTGTGCTATCTAAATAAAAGGAAATTTAGGACATCTTACTTTCTTATATGATTAACTGTGACCATTCAAATATCGCCCCAACATCCTTAATCAAAGTGTTATAAAAATAGAAACACTTGTCATTAAACATTTAGAAATGAGGCAGTGGGCAGATATGTAGACTGGGTGCATTCTTGCTGGATGTGTATGCATTTTTAGAAGTTAGCCAAAACTTTCTCTTTTCAGAATAATTTATGAGGCAATTCCACAAAACTGAAAGCTGGATATTCATTTTCCTATTATCTTCATTAAACGGAAAGGGTTCTCAGATGTGAAAATCCTGCGGAGCACAAATCCCTGTACAAATACTATCATTCCTTCTATCAACACTGATTTCAACAACCCTAAGGTGGGTATTATTCATTTGTGTGAGAGCCAAATGCCTTCTCAACATATGTGACAATGTTCACTGCTACCTTTTTGGCCTTTTCTCACTAACAATTTTCCATTTTCTAAAATGTACAGAAAGTTGGAGTGCAAACATGAAGAAAGCTGAAAAGACCAAGCGTATTTAATGTTTGTCACTAACCTTACCCTGGAATTTTATTTCATTTTTGGAATATTTGGATTAGAGATTGGAAAGAAGTGAATAAACTATAGTCAGGTGGTAGAGGCAAAAATACAGTTGCACAATCTGAGGACTCATCACAGCAATCTCTTCAGTGTGAGAGAGGAAAATGGAGACCCAAAAAGTTCAGGGCAGGGCTAGTTACAGTGAGATCAGGAGACAAACCCATCCTGGATTCACTCACTTGTCCAATAAACATTAAATAAAATAAACTTAGGACATTAACTGCAAACATCACTAGCTCTATGGAGTTGATTTTGTGGATTAAAAGAGCTAATGAAGCATTCATTTTTACCTTGGTTTGTTGGTTCATCATCTACTCATTCTTACAGGGCCTATTTTGTGTACCTCTCTGAAGGCACCAGGAAGGGATCAAAGACGTACTAAGCACAATGTTGGCCTTTTGACAAGACCGGACTCAGGTGTGAGGAAGAAACCTACACAAGTTACTAATTTTAAGTAGCACAGTATATTGGTGGGCATGTACACAGAAATGAACAATGGATGAGTGATTTGCCAATGTTAATAAGCTTTAAATTGTACTTATGCTATGAACTTTTAAAAGATTTCTAAATACCCAGATGAATACATACAATTTGTGATCAAGAATAATCATAGGAGCTGTATTTGAGAGGGTGATCAAAAGTAACAAAATCACTAATCATCAAATGGATCATCTAAATAAACACGTTACATTTATACACTGTACATCTCTGTGTGCAGGCCTACAATGTGATGGAGACATGTTAAAAAAATCAATTGCAGAATGGGATATCTAAGTGACAACCCCATTTTCGTTAACTGACATAGAGATGGGAAAAAAGTCTAAGAGGAAATATACTAAAGTGTTAAGGGGGATTTTTCTTTGGGGGATAGATTCCTAGGGGACTTTTAATTTCTAAGTTTATTTCTTTATTTTATAGTAGGAACGTTTACTTTTGCAATCCAGGAAATAGCATTGTTTTGGATAATGATAACTATGGTGGATATGACAAAGATCTTGGAACAAGCTTCCAACCCAAGTGAAGTGGGAGATTCCAAGAATGGCAAAAAGTCAGAGTTGAACAGCAGTTTAGTGTGAGTGGGCAAAGCTGCTGTGGTTCAGTGTTTAAGTCTGGAGAGATGGGGAGAGAGGATGCCTGAGCTAATCACTGAGGTCTTTAGGGCTTTTCTGTGAGTCAGGAGCCTGTGAGTGACGCCAAGGCCAACTTTCAAAATCTGATGTGCTAAACTCCTTTTTGGTAGAAAATGGCTTCTATAAAAATGCAAACCGAATTTATTTAAAATTTCAGTAAGTTCACAGACCATAGGGAACATATCTGTATGTTTACAGGGACATCAAGGCAGAAGAAGCTATAATAAGGCATTTTAGCATGGGAACAATCTAATTAGATTTGGAGAGTTCTTTATGGAGTGCGGAGAGAATGGGAGAGTTTCAAGATCGGAATGAGATGGGGATTTGTGGCCTGAGATAGTCAAGGGATATGTTACTGCTGGACACAGAGACTTAACTACGACACTAACTTAGTGTCCTTGGATAAGCCTGTAAACTTTTATAATTTCATATTCCTTTCTGTACACTGGGCTTGCCAATGTGCTTCACACTCTGTGCTAATTATGGTGAGAGAGCTGCACCTCATGCTATGTGGAATTCCTTTGGGACGGGTGTAATGAAAGGCTTCTCTCTGACATTCGCAACAGGCCTCTGAGGGAGGGCATCATCCCACTGCCACTAGCAAAATAAAAAATGAGGATGGAGAAGTGAACTATATCTTTTTTCCAGGTTTGCAATAAAAGGAGAGCTTGAGCCCAAAGTATGGTGTCATTTGAATCCAAATTCCATATGTTTTACCAAACACTGTTTCCCTTAGAGCAAGGTTAGAAACATACCAACTCTTGCTTGTAATAACAATGGCACCAGCTGTTTTAATGAAGCCAATAACTATTAAAGAACACTTGATAATTCCTGCTTCTAGTCTTAAGGCAAACCCAGAGAAAATGGACACATTTGTTATTGTCTAAGGCAACATGTGTATCTGATTCACTTTCAACATAAACAAAGGTGGCAAGAAGGCTGAATCTAATTTAGAAATTCAGACTATCCTTTGCTCTTCCATTTCAAATAGAGGTCTAATTGGAAAGTACTTACATTGTCAATATTTCAAAGACTTAAAAAACAGTATCATTCATTTTACTCTCCAAATAATCCTTCCTATTTGTGTGCCATATTGTTTCTGAAATAACAAATTTGGAAAACATCTACTCTTCAGATTCTATTTTAATATATACAGATGCTCCTCAAATCAGGATGGGGATATGCCCTGATAAACCCATTATCAGTCAGACATGCCTTTAAGGTGCCCATGCTACGAATATCACAGCTCAGCTGCCCAGTATACTGCAGAGTGTTGGGTGCTCATCCTTGCAGTCTTGGGGCAGAGATGGAGAGGCAGCTGGATGCCAGGGCCCAGGATCTTGAGTGAGAATAACACTGCAGACTAGGCTACTATCCCAGGAAAAGGTCAAGATGACACAGTGGGAGTGTGGTTTCTACAGAGTGTGTATCACTTTCACATCAAATAAAGTCTAAAAATCATAAATGGAACCATGGTAAGTTGTGGACCATCTGTAATACTGATCATTGATTTCTGGGATTTTGATGAGGAAAGGCCCCAAAAGATCATTTCTCAGTGTTTCTGAGCTTCACTCATTTACAGGACTCTCCCTACCCAGTACACAATAGTTAATGCCTGTCAAGTAAATTTTAGGGGAAAATACAAGATTCTTCAGTTAGGCTGTTTCTGCTATCAAGGAAGATATCCCAGGACTTCCTTCCAGTGTTCTCTTCTGTAAGGAGGACATTAGCACTTTTCCCACCCCTCCCTGTGTCTTCAGGACTCATCACACCTACGAAAAACTAACAGCTATGCTCATCTTATTTTTTAATGAGCAAGTTTTTGCATACTACAATCGAAATTTTGGAGGGGTGCTAGAAAGAGATGATTTGTGTTTTCTTTTTTATTCCTTCAGAAGCAGAAGTGTAGATGACAGCAGCTACATTCTCACTGCAGCATAATGATTCCTCATTTTGCAGGATCCTTTGCAAGGTGCACACCCCACATGCCTGTAATCTCAAAGGCTCTGTATGGCATATGATCCTATTTCATGGATGAGGAACTGGTGCTTAAGGGTATAGGTGAGCAGCCCCATGTACAGAGCCGCTGTTGAGAATTAGCAGGACCCTCAGGGAAAGCAGGGTGTGTCCGCCTGAGGGAATCTATGATGCTACAATGCCAGGCAGGGTCCTGACAGCACTGTCTGCCAGCAGTCTGATGCTATGACTCTGTGCAAATATGGATTTGAATTGACTATTATGTAAGGCAAGATTTTTAAAATTTCTGAGTGGAGGTTTACTGGTCACTACAAAACAATGCCATTTTGAAACAAATATAAACAAAGCTTTTAGGCTGTTCTAAGAAAAATTTCTTATAAATATCAATATTAATCACTAACATAAATGTCTTTGAAATGTCTGCACCTCCTAGAAAAGGCAAAATAACATAGTGTGAGCCACAGGTCAGTTATCAAGAATAGATTTCAGAGGATTCTCTCAAAATTTTCTTGACATACTTTAACTTAGAGATTGCCAAGAGCTAAAATCTGTAAATATAATATCAAATTATTTAAAGTTTCTGCTTCTGACTAAACTTTTTAGGAAGAAAAAGATGTGAAAATAGACAATTAAAAATGTAAGCAGTAAGAGACATAAGTCCAGTGTTGTGAGATGGAGGAAAGGCAGAAGGGACGA